TCTTACATGCTCACAGCAGCATGTCTGTGGATGTATTGGCAGTAGCAAGTCTCAGTACTTGCTCTGCCACAGCAGTAGCAGCGTAGCAGATCTATTCCGCCAAGACCAAATACATTACCATTGTCATGTACATTACCATGCCAATCCCTCCGAGAGTTGTCATGACAGAAATATATATATATATATATATATATATATATACACACACACACACTGTACATCTAAATAGAAAACAGTTGTTTTGGGTCACACTTTATATTAAGGTTCAGTTTTCGCCATTAACAAACCATTAACTATGACTTCTGCCTCAATAAACTCCTAATTTGCTGCTTATTATTTGCGATAACCAAGCAAACCAGTTTATTTAAGATAGTTGTTAAGTTTAGGTAATGGGTGGGATTAGCGATATATATAATATCGCTAATAGCCAAATCTGCATACAGATAACACTAACTGTATTTATGTTCTACTGTTAGTGTTATCTGTATGCACCAAGGGTCTGAGAGTAACGCAATTTCAATTCTCTGTGTGTATGTGCTGTACATGTGGAAGAATTGACAATAAAGCAGACTTGACTTGACTTGATAATATGGTCATGCAGAATATGTGCTTTATCAGTACTAATAAACAGCCAATATGTTAATAATAGGCATGCTGTTAAGCAACTAGTTAATAGTGAAAATTGGTCCGTTTACTAAAGTGTTACCTTAAATTGTAATAATATCCCACAATATGACTGTTTTCACTGCAATTTTGATCAAATAAATGCATCCTTGGTGGTTCTATATACTGTTGAAGTACACTGACACAAATGCATGACCAAAAAACACAATATCACCATGGTGTATGTAAAAGTATTGCCATGGTATCATGGGTAAAAAACAGCGTCAACACTGACCTCCACGTGTTTCCTGACCCAAGTAGCCAGTTCTAGTTACCCATAATGATACATATTCATTCCCTAGCAAGAAAATAACTGTAACATAAAGATGAGAAGGACCAGAATCCGGGCACAGGTTCAAGATGGTGACGCTGGTGCCCTTCTAAAGCAATGGAGGAGGAGTGCGCAACGCAGAGCAGAGGAGAGGGAGGGAACCTGCGGCATTCAGTAGCCCAGAGACAGTTTATTCCGTAGCGGATTTTCATCAACACTGCAGTTTATGGGAGAGCGAACGAGTACGTGTTTATTTAGTTCTCAGCGCGTAAATTATGTAGAATAACCGCGCAGGTGCGATTTTATTGCAGTTATATAAAAAAGCTCCGGTGACTGCCTGCGTTGAACTTTAAATAGCGACTTTAAAAGTGAACCGTAGGGGTCTTAGAAAAACAATTTGAATAGAAAGTGTGCTAGGCGATGTAGACGCGTTAAAACGTCCAGAACTGACTGTAATTTTGGATTAAAGTCCATCATGGAGGTCCGCACAGCGCTCACGTGTGTTTTGTTCAGCGTGCTTCTGTGGGCAGGAGACGCTCAGCACTCGGTACCTGATTCAGGTGAGTCGTTTCACTCACGTTTTCATTCGGAGCTCAGTATGAGATTGTACTGAATCATATACTTTTATTCAGGACTCGGTACATAATTTACGCGAAGCACATGTTTTAATTCGGAACTTGGTGTCTTGATTCAGCGGAGTCATCTGAGTCAGGACTCAAAACCAGAATGATAGGCTGTTTTGCTTCAAGTAAGACTCAGTATGTGATTTAGGTGAACTATATTGGACTATATTGAAACACATTGTTTATGTCATTTAGGTGAACCATTACAGTTCTCTATACCTGATTCAGATGAATCACATAGGTTTATTCAAGACTCCGTCGCCTGATTTAAGTGAGTCATGTCTCAGGACAGGTGAGTCATGTAGGTCAGTACCTGATTTAAAAGAGTCATAATCTTTTATTTAGCAAAACAAAGAAACTTACACTCTAAAAAATGCTGGGTTAAATACTACCCAGTGCTGGGTAAAATAGGGACAAACCCAGCAATTGGGTTGTTTTGACCCAGCGGTTGGGTTACTACCCAGAAGGTTGGGTTAAAACAGCCCAATTGCTGGGTTTGTCCCTATTTTACCCAGCACTGGGTTGTATTTAACCCAGCATTTTTTTAGAGTGTACATAGTTATTTCATGTTTGCGAATAGCGGTTGCATATTAACTCATGTTAACATGTAGAACCGTATTAAAGTGTTAACAATTTATTTAATAATAAGTCCAGAACAAACATGCAAGTTTAAATAATCATTGCTAATGTAAATCATTGACCAATGAGTTAACGTTAAACTTAATATGGAATTATATTCTATTTAGTTCTAGTCTTGAGTAGATAAAGAACTTAAAGCCCTTTAAACAATAAATGAAAGAAGGAATATGGAGATAATTTCTGATAAACATGACTGAGGGAGCAGCAGAATATATACATTACAAACATGTGAGCTAGACAGAAAACATGTGTAAACGCATTTTGCTTCATGCAGCGTGTCAGGGGATTCTTGTCCTCTAAAACAGTGGTTCCCAACCCTGGTCCTGGAGGCACCCCAACACTGCACGTTTTGCATGTCTCCTTAATCAAACACACCTGATTCAGGTCATCATCTCATTAGTAGAGACTCCAAGACCTGAAACTGGAGTGTCAGAGAAAGGAGACATGCAAAATGTGCAGTGTTGGGGTACCTCAAGGACCAGGGTTGGGAACCACTGCTCTAAAGCATATGGCCCAAGTTTAAGTGACCCGAGCAAAAGAAAAATTGAAAACAGCCAAATACTTCATAGTATTTGTTAGTGTTGCAGTAAAGCATTTTCTCTCTGGGTGTCATCTTATATATTTTGTTGTGTTAAATCAAATTTTATAATTGAAGTGACTGCATTAAATTTTCAGATCTCACAAATGACAGTGAGTATTAGCTGTATGAATAGAACTGCAATAACTTGCTGTCAGCACATCGCTGACATACATATTGAGTGAGGCGAGTGAATTAAAGGACTCTTCCTGACACTCACTAATGTTAGGCTATCAACCGCTCTAGGGTTATGAGAAACCTATTAAATGCCAGAAAATAGAGGTATTGTGTACATTTTGCTTCTGCTGATGTCTGTCATGACAACACACTGAAATTATGAAACGCATGATAGAAGATAAGCAACAGAGGAATTTATGCATGCACTGTATTGAAAAGCACTCACTATTCACTACATAGTGGAAGTCACATACAGTAGTTATATGAGGAACGAGAGAGCCAAAATTATCATATTTGACCACAGCTCCATACAAGATTGTGCACTTTGTGACACGATTTTAATCACTTCATGATTTTAATCAGATTGCATGCAGATTGCCCATGGTTCAGATTAGGTTTCATGATTTTCTGCTATGCAGACTACAAATCCAAACAGATTTGAGTCAGATATGCCACAAAAAATACATTTTAGTCAGAATTTCAAGTTGCACATGGATTTTTATATGGATTTACAAAAATCTTCATGTGTCTTCATGTGTTTAATATGGAAGCTTGTTTCTGCTGCGGGAAGGAAGTGAAAATGTAATTGTGACTTTTTATCTCACAATTTAGGCTGTTTTCCTTGCAATTCTGAGTTTATATCCCACAATTTTTCCTTAAAATAAGTCAGAACTTACCACAATACAAACATAGAATTGTGAGGCACAAATACAGAACTGTAAGATATAAACACAATTCTGAGAAAAAAAGTTGAGAGATGTTAATTTGGTCGCAATTGTGAGACATAACCTCATAATTGCAAGAAAAGAGTCAGAATTGTGAGATAAAAAGTCCTTTTTTATTCCATGGCGAAAACAAAAACAAACAAACAAAAAAATTGTGAGATGTAAACTCAGAATTCATTGAAAGAAAGTCAGAATTGCAGACAAAAATATAGACAGAATTCTGAGAAACAAAATGTCAGAATTAAAAAAAAGTCACAATTCTGAGTTTATATATCGCAATTCTGCGTGTAAGAGTCAGAAAAATAGTGAGATAAGTCGCAATTACTTTGGTAGAATACAAGCTTCCATAATTTACTACTGTTCAGACTATAAAAAAAGAAATCAGATAAGAATCTGATATGCCAAAAAAAACAATTTTTTTGCTGCCTGTTTGAACAAAACCATAGACACACCAACAGTGACTCACAGAGAGTAATTCTGGAAGAGCCTTGAGCATTTTGGCTTTGACTACAGGAGTTTCTGTGCAAAGTGCCACCGCACCCTGCTTCCAAGCGGTCTGGCAAAGGTCAATTATTTAGCAGTCACGGGTTCAAGTGACCCGATGGGCTCTTTTCTCTTAGCAAAGCAGAAGAAAACTATGCAAAGTATACACACGGTTTTAGATTTCATCCGAATTCATTGGTGAAACAGGACTTTTGTCACCAAAACGGGGCTACAAATATTTTTGCAATAGTGCAAAATGCTTAAGATTCACAAGATTCTCTTGTAATTCGATTCAAATTGGTTTGGACGCCTCCAGATCTTCTCACAGGACTTGGGTGGGCGACTTTTTTGGATTGTCTTAGGTGGCAAACGCTTGGCTCTCTGAGGCCTCTCGCCCACTCGCTCTCTCTTGCTCTTTTCTGCACACTCGCTTTCTTCCTCTTCAGGGGCTTCTGGAAAAGCCTGTACATTCCTTCTTTTACTTCATATGGAACAGCCAATTCTCACCTCCCCCCCTTTTCTCCATGCCCGCCCGCCCGCTCGCCGTCGTCCGTCTGCCTCCCGCTTGTAACATCCAGTAGCAGGGCTGTTCCTTCCCCCATCTGTTTATGTTTATCATGCAGCTCCAGGTTGGAGGGCATCTCTGCCAGGAAATTCCTGTAACGGCCAAATCAAATGTTCCATCTCCTGAAATATTGTGAAGCTCCCAGTTCTTCCTTATGCTGATAAATACTACTGTTTTCTTATCCTTATTTTTAGCATCTACCGTTCAAGCCCACTTCCTTCGCAAATGACTAATTTCCTCACTCGATTTCACACTTATCTCCGTTTGGCCGTTCTTTCTCAGAGTTTCTCCCAAGTATATTGTGTTCACTATAAACATTTAACAAGTTTGTGGTCAGTTAAGAGGGAGTGCGTGTACACGGCATCCGAACTTGTAAAAACTTGTTTGTCAACTTCCATCTGAAGCTGTGAAACTGAATTAATAAGACTGAAGGTCTGCACAATTTGGGGG